AAATAAGATGAGTATCATCAGCAAAAAGGAGAGATATTTCAAAATTATGAAAGGGTCAAGTTATCAGCAGCTCATTACATTCCCAAATTCTTAGGTTCCTGCTAACAACTTGAAAATACATAAAGTAGAAAAAATTTTAAAATACACAGAAACGTTCCTGAAGCAAACATGGACAGAGCTAGAAAAGCAAGAAAGAACACTTCCAAACTTTTGTTGAGGCCAACATAATCCAGAGAAGAAAGCCTATCAAGAAGATTGATTACAAGGAAAGAAAACCAGGTGTAAGCTTTCTTGAAATATTTGGACAAAGAGGAGGTAAAAGAGGAATACAGCCAAGGATCGAATCCTTCAACAGAGATTGGGAAAGCTACAGCTGAAACAGATTTGGGGAAGATCAGAAATTCAGTTTTCAATATGTTTACTTTAGGCTGTCTACCAGAGATGCTTCAGATGTGAGAATTTGGAACTCTGGAGTTGCACTTTAGGCTAAAATCTGGAAGTTGGCAACATAACATTGTGAGACTAAGATCATCAAAGTATTTTATGTAGAGAAGGTAAAGTTAGGATTTGAATGTGAAGTATCCATCAAAAAGAGCCCATACTGGAGTTTGGTCCCTAAAGGTGGTACTGTTTTGTGAGGCTCCTTATTCTTTGGGAGATGGGGCCTACATAGAGGAAATGGGTCACTGGGAGGTATCCTTGAAGGTCTGTATCTTGTGTGTGTGTCTGCTCCACCCGTAGAATTGGTTCTCCTCCATTACCCAGCTTCTTTGTATACACATACAAGCACACTATATATCTTTATCAAACTTACTATATATTGTTGCTATTTTGATTGTTTTACTTTCTCCTTATACTGTATCTCTCTACCTTCCCACAGAAAAAAATCCTAGTCATCTTTCAAGACCTTCCCCAAGGTCTCTTCCACTCTATTTTAGTACTATTAATAGAAAATTGTACTGTATATACTTATCTTTTCCTAGTAGGTATAAAAAAACTCCTTTGCATATTTATTAAAAGATCATTGGTTTATGATGAAACCCCTTACTATGTACAGTTTCATGTACACCAATAAAAAACTGATTTATGCTTTGAAATAATTCTGATTTCATACAACTGTAGAAAAGTGTGAGGAAAACAGTCTAACAAGGATTTATAGTCACAGAATTCTCAAAAGCTCTATTGAATTTTCTCAGCTGTTTGTGGTGTTATACACCTATAGTCTCAGCTACTCAGGAGGCAAAGATAGTAGGATCACTGTTCAAGACCAGCCAGGGCAAAAAAACAACCTGGGAATGGTGTTTCATGCATGTAATCCCAGCTGCTTGGGAGCAGAATCAGAAGGGTCATAGTCCTAAGGCTGGCTTGGGCAAAAGTGCAAAACCTTATATGAAAAACTATACTAAAAAGCAAAAGGACTTGGGCATGGTTTAAGTGGTAGAGTGCCAGTACCACTAAAAAAAAATCCAAAACAACAAAAAACTATTAGAGATGTTGAAGTTAAACAAAACAAAAACTTAAATTGAAAATTCTTTTGTTTGGTTGTTTATGGTTGCATGACTATATGGTCATTTTCTTGACATTTCTACATATCCCTTAGGCTTATACTGTTAATATTACACATCACAGGCTTTTAAAAAAAGAGTTAAACAAGGAAAGTAAAAGCTGCCTATTCTCCCATCTAGTACTAACCAGGCCCGACCCAGCTTAGCTTCTGAGATCAGATGAAATCAGGAGTGTTCAGGGTGGTATGGCTGTAGACAAGCTGCCTATTCAGTAAGGATTCAATGTTATTTATTGTATTTAGGCTTTCTCTGTCTATCCTAATGGAAACTTTTTTGTTTTAATAGTTAACTTTTATTAGACCCATTCTATCTTACTGTGCTATATAACCACCTTTTATCTTCATGTAAGAAGTTGAGAAATACCTGGTCGTTATCCTTCAAGAATACACTTGAACTCAGGAGACAGAGATCAGGAAGACAGCAATTTGAAGCCAGCTCCAGGCAAATAGTTCCAGAGACCCTATCTCAAAAAACCCATAATGAAAAAAGGGTTGAGTGGCTCCAGCAATAGAGTGCCTATCTAGCAAGACGAGGCCCTGAGTTCAAACTCCAGGGCTGCCAAAAAACAAACAAACAAACAAAACACCAAAAAATTTGAAGCCTAGTAATTAGTAATCACCAAGAAATCATTCTTGAAGATTTTAAAGCCTCAAGTTCTTCTTACCATTTAGAAGCTTAACATCTTAGCTAAGTTACTCTTTATTGTTGTTTACATTTAAGCTTCATAATGTAATTTTTCAATCACTTCTAAAATACAAAGTTTAATAGGACTTAACAACAAAAAAAACGTAATTAGGGGATCTGCGGAGACTGGCGCTGCAAGTTGTGTTGCAACATTGGGTTGGTTTCAGGGTTTGTTCCACACCTTGTGGAGAGCACTGTCAGAGGAGGTGAAGGTTACAGACCACCTCTGGGACAAATACTATCATATCCCAGAGTACAAGAACTGGAGAGAAAAGGATTGTAGAAGCAGCAAGTAAAAAACCGACTCTGAAGTTAGAGGGCCATCCCAACAGAATGAAAAGCTTGGATTAGAAGAACAAAAAAGATTCCACACCTCCTATGGAGGAAATACTAAAGAATGAAATACACAGAAAAGAAATGAAAATAAAAAGCAAAAGATTTTTATGAAAAAGGAAAACTCAGTAAAGAGACCAAGGAAGAACTTTGCCTCCACATATTCAAAGTGAGGTTGAAGGGCATGCCTCTAAGTCCATTCAGAAAATGCAATGGGGTGATTTTTTTTTTAGTTGTATGAAATGAATCACCACACCCATTAGTGGCACAATGGTAAAAGTGTAGGTAAGGCATGATCCCCTTATTTTAAAGAGTCCTGTATTTTACAGAGTAACAGTATTTGCAGATTTTTTTTTTTTTTAAAGATATGAGCGGTAGACAGTAGGGAAGTGAGCCCAGTAGATATTCATAAACCCAGTTTTAGGGAAAGTGTCATTTACTTCAGCCTTAAAGAAGAAAAAAATCAGGGTGTGCTTTATTTTATGAGGAAGGCAAGAATCCTACACAGGAAATTCATGAGAGTTTTCAAGTACTTAGAAGAAGACCCTATTTACTCGTGGCTAGAATGCAAAGGAAAATTTTTTACTTTAAATCTAGAATTGGAAAGGAAATTAAAAAACAAACCTGTGTCTGCTAAGAAGATTCATGTGCTGAGATTTTTAAACAGAAGACGTACACTAATATAAAATAATTGCTTGAAAATTTAAAAATTGAGGCAGGAAGGCTGAAGTTCTAAGTGATAGTTAACTAAGCCTAAAAAGGGTACTTGATACTATAATTTGTATGTTGGAGCTAGAGTCTAAAATAGAACAAAATTTCTTTCCTCAAATTTTGCTTCTAATTCCTTAGCAAGCAAAATGTTATCCAAACTTGACATTGCAGAGTGATACATCTTAAAGAATTACAGCATAATATACTGCATCATATTTACCCCTGACCAATTACATTAACTTTAAAATTTTATTTTTTTCCTTAGTCCTTGGGTTTTATTTGCTTTGATTTTTAATTATTTTATTTTGCTTTTTTCAGTACTGGGGCTGGAACTGAGGGCCTTCAACCTTGAGCCACTCCACCAGGCCTATTTTTGTGAAGGGTTTTTCGAGATAGGGTCCAATGAACTATTTGGCGGGGCTGGTTTTGAACTTCAGTCTTCCTGATCTCGCCCTCCTGAGTAGCTAGGATTATAGGAATGAGCCACTGATACACCTGGCTTACCTTAAATTTAACATTCCAGAAAATACTGTTTTAAAAACTACTATACATTTAAAAACATCTTTTCAAGTATTTTTTTTCTGTATAAACAAAAGTCAGATTGTCAGAGTTAGGGTGTACTTTTTTCTTCACAAAACAATGTATTACAATATTCGTGTTAATAATATGTACGTAGGCTGGGTGCTGGTTTTTCCCAGCAACACAAAAAAAGGCAAATAATGTATATAAGCAACTCTGTTAATAATAGTGCTCGCAGTAAAAATTGTGTAGATTTATATTCAAGTTTATCCCATTTGATCAGACTTAGTTAATAGGACATATTAAAATTGGGTTGCTGTTAAAAATTTCTTTTTTTGATACTTTTACAGGCAAAACAACTTTTTATGAATCTGAAACTTTTTAGCTTTAATCCCTTTTTCCATGGAACCAGTTGTTTTGATTACCTGTGATTTCTTAGAAATGCTCCTATTACATTCTTGATAGTAATTTTTAAACTGTTATCTTTCAAAATGTGGATTCCCTTGTTTTAAGAGATTTCTGGTTCTGAAAGGGTCTTGGAAGTATCTAGGAATGTAAAGCTGAAGCACCCTATTTGTGATTCTGGTGTAGGTGGTTCCTGGACCACAGTTCTTAATGAACAGAATGCACATAATTATCATGGACTTGAGTTATTTTCTTAGTATAAATTTCTGGAAGTAGGATTAGTTGAACAAAGGAGATGTACTTTTTAGGCTTCTCTTCTTTGTATTCATAGTGCTAGAGTGTTCTCAAGAGATATATCTGTTTACATTCTCATCTGCAAGGTATAGTATAAGAATACCAGTTGTGTATGCCTTGGTGAAGTTAGGTATTATCAGTCTTTTTGACCAAGTAATATACACATATCTAAATTTTTTGAACTGAAAACTACGTGGAAAATTTTGGCATTTATTGTAGCTATTAATTTGGTCTTCTTAGTAGCTGTTATAAGTTAGTATATTTGTCCCTAAATGTGTACAAAAGCCCTAAATAGAATTTGGGTTGAATGCCTGTAAAATTTGCTTATAAGTGGAATCTTTCTAGGAATATAAAGTCACAATAAAGGAAGTCACAATAAAGGGTTGGACTTGTCAATCTTAAGAAAAATAACTTGGTACCCTTTAAATATGATCATCTTAACAAATGAAGCTAATTATATATTATTGAGTACATTTTGGTTTGTTCCAGTAGCCGGATCGAGCTGGGAGATGTGACACCACACAATATTAAACAGTTGAAGAGACTGAACCAGGTCATCTTTCCAGTCAGCTACAATGACAAGTTCTACAAGGATGTGCTGGAGGTTGGCGAGCTAGCAAAACTTGGTATAATATGGTTTTTTCCTTCCTTTTAAAAATTTGTGTTCTTCAACAGTACCTGTTAACATTAGTGGATGAGTTAGTAATTTAGTTTACTGTTTTTACAAGTGAGGAAATTAGAGCTGGTCTAGGTTTTGAGAAAAATCAAGATAAAAATACTTGAATTTTTAAAGGAAATACTTAGTGTTTTTTATTATTTAGTGTGCACATATATGTTATCACAGATCAGCTTTATTACAGAGAAAGCTTACCTTAGTGTAAGAGGTTTGAGGCCATTGATAATGATAGGATAGCTGATTAAAATTTAATGCTGATAGCAACAACTTAGTCTTTTAGAAGGGGAGGGGGAGATTAAATAAAATATGTTATTTTGTCTACTGAACTTTGTATCTTTATATTTTCCATGGCAGCCTATTTCAATGATATAGCTGTAGGTGCAGTATGCTGCAGGGTGGATCATTCACAGAATCAGAAGAGACTTTACATCATGACACTAGGATGTCTTGCACCTTACCGGAGACTAGGAATAGGTAAAATTGTGGGGGGTGTTTTGTTTTGTTTACTTCTTCAGAAAAGCATAAGTACATTGTTACTGATTTGAACTATTAAGTCAACTTCTTATTTCTTTCAGAAATACTGGGAAAAGGGTTACTGAATTTTATAGAATGAAGTGAAAATTAGTACTATATTAATATAATTCAGTTGGAAACCCTGTATAAAGTTGTCCCCTTTTGTTCACATTTTGCTTTTTATCTATCTGGAAGTGTTGTAAAAAGGTTGCTCTTCTAATAGTTTTAAACATATATAGCTATTATAGACAGAGAACAAAAATTGGAAAAGTAAGGATGTCTAGTATATACCTCATAAATTCTGTATTAGGACTCAATAAGGACTTAAAGATGACAAATAGGTGTGGAATTTAAAGGTTGATTTATGAGGTTACTTACTTGTTGTTTGTCTTAATAGGAACTAAAATGTTAAATCATGTTTTAAACATCTGTGAAAAAGATGGCACTTTTGACAACATCTATCTGTAAGTAAAATAATGTTCTTATCTAAAGAGTTTAGTAAATTGTCAGTAGAAATACTATTTAAAACTTTGGAAACTGCTCACTTACTGTATATTTGAAAATGCCATGAAAGTATAGTTATCCCTTGATATCTGAAGGGGATTGATTTCAGGACCCTCTACAGATTACAAGCATCTGAGAATGTTCCATCCCTATAGAAAATGGGATACTAGTTACATAAGGCCTAAGCATATTCTCCCATATACTTTTTAAATTTTTTTATTATTTTTTTTTAATTATAGAATTTTTATTAGGATATATTTTTTAAAAATTTTTATTGTTTTATTATTCATATGTGCATACAATGGTTGGGTCATTTCTCCCCCCCGCCCCCACCCCCTCCCTTATCACCCACTCCGCCCCCTCCCTTTCCCCCCCACCCCCTCAATACCTGGCAGAAACTATTTTGCCCTTATCTCTAATTTTGTTGAAGAGAGAGTATAAGCAATAATAGGTAGGAACAAGGGTTTTTGCTGGTTGAGATAAGGATAGCTATACAGGGAGTTGACTCACATTAATTTCCTCTGCATGTGTGTTACCTTCTAGGTTAATTCTTTTTGATCTAACCTTTTCTCTAGTTCCTGGTCCCCTTCTCCTATTGGCCTCAGTTGCTTTTAAGGTATCTGCTTTAGTTTCTCTGCGTTGAGGGCAACAAATGCTAGCTAATTTTTTAGGTGTCTTATCTATCCTCACACCTCCCTTGTGTGCTCTCGCTTTTATCATGTGCTCAAAGTCCAATCCCCTTGTTGTGTTTGCCCTTGATCTAATGTCCGCATATGAGGGAGAACATACGATTTTTGGTTTTTTGGGCCAGGCTAACCTCACTCAGAATGATGTTCTTCAATTCCACCCATTTACCAGCGAACGATAACATTTCGTTCTTCTTCATGGCTGCATAAAATTTCATTGTGTATAAATACCACATTTTCTTGATCCATTCATCAGTAGTGGGGCATCTTGGCTGTTTCCATAATTTGGCTATTGTGAATAGTGCTGCAATAAACATGGGTGTGCAGGTGCTTCTGGAGTAACCTGTGTCACAGTTTTTTGGGTATATCCCCGAGAGTGGTATTGCTGGATCAAATGGTAGATCAATATTTAGCTTTTTAAGTAGCCTCCAAATTTTTTTCCAGAGTGATTGTACTAGTTTACATTCACACCAGCAGTGTAAGAGGGTTCCTTTTTCCCCGCATCCTCGCCAACACCTGTTGGTGGTGGTGTTGCTGATGATGGCTATTCTAACAGGGGTGAGGTGGAATCTTAGTGTGGTTTTAATTTGCATTTTTTTATTGCTAGAGATGGTGAGCATTTTTTCATGTGATTTTTGGCCATTTGAATTTCTTCTTTTGAGGAAGTTCTGTTTAATTCACTTGCCCATTTCTTTATTTCTCCCATATACTTTAAATCAACTTAGATTACTTATTATAACAGTGCAATGTAAGTGCTATGTAAGTATTTGTTATACTACATTGTTTCAGGAGTGATAAGGAAACAATAGTGTACATGTTGAGTACAGGTGTAGTTTTTTTCCTGAATACTTTTAATCCAGGATTGGCTGAATCCACAGATGCAAAAACCATGGATATGGAGGGTGGGCTATAGTTAAGATGTTTTATTTTAATAATAGTCATGGAACCTCAGACAAAACACATATTGAGAACTTCAAAGTCATACAGATAAAACCTGGATTGCAACCCAAGTGTTCAGAGTTCAAGATCACTAATACCATTATATTATCTTTTCTCATGTCATACTGTTTGCAGTCTTGTGTGTTTTGTTCAGGGTTGTCAGTTACTTGCTCATTTGTACTAGAGTTTAATCAAAATCAGGGATGGCCTAACTGAGATTATACTAGGATCTCACAAAACTGCAGTTTAAGGGCCAAGACTGAGATCACAGCCAGGAATTTGTTCATAATTCATTGTAGTGATGAAAGATACTAAATTATGCAATGTTATTTTGAGGAGTGATTAAGAATGCTCAAATTTCTTCATTTTAAAATGCAGCATATTTTCTGTTAGTCATAATAGGGCTTTTGACTCATCCCTGTGGTTATTTAAGTCATTTTTAATTACAGGAATCTTTTCTCCTTTTACAGTCAAGTATGAAAGAGCCCTGTCTGTTAACTGTTAGACTAAGGACTATTAATGAGCCTCCTAATCTTAATCATCTACCTGGCCAATGGAAGAATTAGTTTAAAAGTATAAGATTGTCAGATAGTTTTCTGATATAATTAACTAATCTTGTTGACTACTGGTAGTGTAAAGAATGTAAAAGATGTCATGATATTCTGATTTCAACCAGTTTGAAGCCATTCGTGATAAAGACTTAAAAACTGATGAAATTTTAAATTACATTTTGTTTGTTGTTACCCTCTTACATCTTAGGCACGTCCAGATCAGCAATGAGTCAGCAATTGACTTCTACAGGAAGTTTGGCTTTGAGATTATTGAGACAAAGAAGAACTACTATAAGAGGATAGAGCCTGCAGATGCTCATGTGCTTCAGAAAAATCTCAAAGTCCCTTCTGGTCAGAATGCAGATGTGCAAAAGACAGACAACTGAACAAATTATAAATGAACTTTCTTGCACTTGCTTGTCGCCAAATAAAAGAGAGGCCCGTTGATTTCCCCCTGCCCCCTCTTTCTTAAGCTTTCTGTCTCTTTGTTCTTGTTTTTCTTTTCTTTCCTCTAAAAGTTTTAATACTTTCAAAGACTTTTAAAAAATAATCATGTTTGGATTGTTTTAGGTTTTTTTGTTGTTTTTGTAAGGTGGTTGGATTGAAGAAAGGACAGTAGATTTGTTTAGTTTCATAGTTAAGATGTGGTCCCAAATATTTGGGCATCAGATGATTTCAAATTTTTTAGCTGATTTTTTTTTTTTATGTCCTGCTTTCACATTGAAGGGCAGAGTCTACAAATATTTGTTTATTTGAAAAGATAAAAAGAAGCAGCAATATCCTGTTCTCTAATTCATAGACAAGTTTAGTGTGTTTGTGGTACTTTTGAGTTTTTAAAGACTTAATTTGTGGGATGTTAATCCCTAGACAATGCCTTCACTCCACCTTTAGTCCTTCTGAGCATTCTCAGGAGTTAGACCTTGTTATCTTAGTAAAAAAAAAAAACAAAAAAATACTAAGCTTATTTAGGTTTTTAAAGCAATTGTTTTTTCTTTTGCTGATGGGTGGGGCAGTTTGGTAGGTAGGTAGTGTTATATTTTGGTCTAAGTATTTTGAGTTAATTGAGTATTTGCTTTTTTGCTGATGAGTGGGCTGGTTGTTAGCAGGTTTGTTTTTCCTGCTATTGATTGTTACTAGAGGCATTAACTTCTAGAGTGTGGGTTGGTGAGATTAATTTTTTTTTTTTAATATCCCAGCTAGAGAGATGGCCTTTAACTGACCTAAAGAAGTTTGTTGTGATTTAATTATTTCCTACTATCCTTTTCTTTCAGTAAGTCCAACAATAGTTAGTCTACCCTTAAAAATTGAGTTGATGTCTTGTAAGTCAGTATCCCTAAATAAACCTGAAGCAGGTATTTTCTCTTGGACATATTAAGAAATACCTAAAAGGAAGCTTATATACATTTGGCACAATAAATTCATTTAATATCAACTAATTCAGGCTGTTAAAAATATGGCCACTGAACATTTGATTATATAGGAAAGAATATCTAGACAGTATTTTTGAGAATAAAATAGCTATGCTATTGCTTATCTGTTGGAGAACATCCCAGATTTGCTTACACTCTGTGCCTACAATATTGAGTTTAAGGATTTGGAATAAGAGGAATTGTTAAGCAGATTGCTTCTATTCTTGGAAAGGTAGAAGTATAAAGTGTTAATGATGCAAATATCACTGTGATCTCCTCTACTGACAGGTCTAGTTTATGCTAGATCATTTTCTGGCACGTAGGGAGTAGCTTTGACAGGTTGATAACTTTTTGTAAGATGCGAGATGTCTGAAATTCATTTTCTACCCATTGTCCCATCTTTAATATTTAGAATTTTTAGATTGTCAGTAGTGATGGTTCAAGAAATGTTCTCATTTGACTTTAAAAGAAAGTTTGAGTCATAATATTTGTCCTTTTATGTAAAATTCTAATGTAAAAGTCTCATCATCTCTGAATAGGTTAAATGATAATTACTTCACAAAATGTTTGTGTACACTTTATAACCTTAAGTTTCTGAGAATGTGAAAGTATAAAGTAAAATAGACTTCAACAGTCTTAATTGAGTGCCAAGAAAAATACAGAAAAGGAAGGTGATGGATAAACAAGTTTATAAGGTTCTAATCTTAAGGTAGTAAAAATGGAGAAAGATCATGTTGGTTTCTTGGGTATCAGTTCCTTAAAAGTCTAAATCTGAGCTTAAAGAAAAGTTTAGCAGTAAGCACCTTTACCTTCATGGATAAGCTTCAGCTTGCTCTTGCCAAGAGAAGAGTGCTTGAGTTACAGAAAACATAATTAGTTTGAAAAGTCCGCCTTTTTGTAAACTTCCAAATATCAAAATAGATTTTGATATATGAATGAGTTTTCTGAGATGACACTGCCTCTATTTCTATAACATTTCACCTGGACTATCTAAGCAGTCCTATGAATGTATCCCTAAATGCGGTTATTGAAAACCGAATAGCTGCCTCATGAACTTAAGTACATGTTATTTAAAGAGGGAAAAAATATTAAGTTTGAATTGAGTACATAGGCTTCCTATCATTAGTTTCTTTTTCCACACCAGTCAATGACTTAACCTAAATTCTCAGTATGTATAATGGACTAATTGTCCTACATCAAAGTTGTATTAAATAATTCCATCCACTTACAGAGGAGGAAGATGTGGAAGAGGTAGAAGCTAGGCACCAGTTCATATACCTATGAGTTAGTAAAAACTAAAGCAATTAGTTGAGTTGGTTATTTTTGAATGATAAAAATACCTTTGAGGTAAAACAGCTCTATTAACTGGAAGATCACAGGATATATCCATCATATTTTTCAGGACAGATAGTTTTTATTTGGGGCAAATAGGTTAAAATTATACTATATGGTATTTGCATTTAGGTTCTAAAAGAATCTGTAGAGAAATCTGTGCAATATGTAACTTGCCCAGATTAGTTTTCATTTGGGGAAATGAGTTCTGAAGTATCTCCAAAGCAGTTTACTCATCAATTGAAAGTCCTCCAGAGAACTATTGGGAAACCGTGGTGTATGGTGGTAGAAAACAAAAGCTCCCTCAGTTTTTTGGAGGGAAAAATACTTAAATGGCTAAGTTTACTTGGTGCAGTTAAGAATTAAATTTGTCAATTTAACATTGCTGTTACATCTGAAATAAACTATGTGATGTTCTGCTAGTGATCTGTGATGTCTATAAATGTCAAAGGAAACCCTGCATTGTGCGAATTCTGCAGTCTATAATTATACATAGTCATTTTGTACTGTTGCCATACTGTTTTACTTACTTTCATACTACTTTAAGATCTAGTTTAAGACTCATGAGAACAGTCTAGGTGTAATTGAGGCACCCTAATCAGATCTTTTGGAACTTAATCAAAATACTGCCCAGTATCTGTAGTTTAATCACAGTGAGAGAAAAACAGATCCAAGGAGATGTCCTGCTTTATTATCAGTGTAATTGTTTAAAATGCCTGTCACTTTAGGCTGCAGTTGCCTAATTAGTAATATGTATTGAGTATAAAGGATATTCAGATATTTTTCTTTTTGTAGTGAGTTTAGTAGTTCAGTGAGTTTGAGAATTGCTTTGTGCTTGTTTGTCTTCTAATACCAAAAAAAAAATTAATTTTAAAGATTTTCCTTAGGGATTGGAGATATGTAGCTCAGTGATAGAGTGCCTGCTCAAGATTCTAGGTTTGATCCCTAGCATCGACCCTCCTTTCACCCCATCCTCCCAAAAATGTCTTTAGTGAAATTAATTCCATATGCTTAATACTTCTAGACAAAATAGTTTTAATTAGGAGTTTGCTTATTCTGCTGAAGAAACAATGGATGATCATTATCCATTGTCTTAGTTGGCAGCCATGACTGCATCATCTTGAAGGCTTCATTGGAGCTGGAGAACAACTTTTGTTTGCTCACATGGCCTCAGTTCCTCACTATGTGGGTGTCGCCATAGGTCTGCCTGACTTAGCTGGTAGCATCTGGCTTTCCACAGAGGCCTTAATCCTCCAGAATCAAATTTTATCCAGCAATAAGTGGGAGGAGAGGGTTAATGTGAAGCAGTTGCTATTTACACAGTTTAGGAATTTAAATCTTGAAAAAATAATGGCTTTTTAAAAATTAATTTGTGATGAAAACCTAAATCTAATTTGGGAAGATGAACTATTGGATAGAATATTTTGGTGTTTCTGAACATTGACTTATATGCTCCTTGTTTATTTTACCGTCCTCAAAAACTTAAGATGTCTGAGCTCATGAAGGAGCTAAGTAAATGAAAGCTTGTGTTAAATGGCTGTAGCTTTAACAGGATATCTGATTAAAAGGTTTTTATTTCTTTGGAGCTTATCTAGTTAGCTAATCTTTGAGATACCATACTGGCAATATCGAAAGTCCTTTATTGTAAAGATCTGAACAATCTTCAACGCTACTTGTCACTATCACTATCAGTCTTCTACCCTGAAGCATTGTAAAACTGTCAGGTACTACATGTGTTTCACTTAAAATTTTTTGTACAAATGTATTGAGTAACTGTTAAGTTCTGGAAATACAGTAGTGACCAAGGCAGATAAGGTCTATGGAACTTTAAAAAGTAAGTAAAATTGTATTTTAAGTAGAATTCATGCCTAAGTGAAGGTGTCTCTCTACTAAAGTGAAAAACAAGTCCTCCATGAATCTTGATTGTCCTTTAGCTTTGGGAGGGACTTGGAGAGAAATATTCCCTACAGTGACCTGTTTTTAACATTTAACATTAGCTCAAATATAAACAAAAAAGCCTTAATTCCTATAAAAGGAACTGAGTATGAAAGGGAATGGAAAAGGTGTAAGTTCAGAATTTATACCCGAGAAGCTATGTATTGTAAAAGTTTGACACCATTGTACATAATTTGTTTCCCTAGACTTGTAGCTTACCCATTCTACACTGCCTCCCTCAAGCTACAATTTAGAAATAGCAGACTAGCTCAAATCTGGTGATATTTTAGCAGTAGATCAAGTCAGACAAATGAGTGAGTGACCTCCCATATAACACAGTTTAATCTGTTGAAGAGCATATTGCAAATATACATACCTTTATCTATCTATCCAAAAAGTAAACAGCTGCTGCAGGTTGCTGGTGCCTCCTGCCTATAATCATAGGTACTCAGAAGGCAGAAATCAGGAGGATTACAGTTATAGGCTAGCCCAGGAAATAGTTCATGAGACCCTATCTCAAAAATACCAAACACAAAAATGATCTGGCATAGTGACTCAAATGGTAATGGTGCCTGCCTTGTAAGTGTGAGGCCCTGAGTTCAAACCCCCACACTCCCCCCCTGCACGCGCACACACATACACACAACCTCTTTCTTCATAAGTTTGGTTTCTGGTAATGTATCTTCCTGATGTAGTCAACTGTAGGAATATAACTTATTAGGAACTTTATTCAATTTATGTTCTGTATAAGCAAATCTCCATGAGCTCTGTTTACACTTAGCCTGTGCAAGTGACTTCATGCTGTCTTATTAGTTAAAACACTAATACCTATAAGTGCAACTAATACCACTACTCAGTACCTACTAGCTTCCCCTTAACAGTTAAGGCCATCCCTGAGAAACGGTTCACGAGACCCCATCTCCAAAACAACCAGAGCAAAATGGACTGGAGGTATGGCTCAAGTGGTAGAGCATCTGCTTTGCAAGTGGGAAGTCCTGAATTCAAACCCCAGTTGCCCCCCTCCCAAAAAAAGGGGGGGACTGGATCTGCTCTGGTGATGCCTAATACTGCTAGGAAACATTACATTGTTTTCATTTGTCAGGTACTGTATTGAGGTGGGTGGCATAATTTTACAAAATTTTGGAGAAATTTTTTAGTTTGACTCAGTACACAAAAGGAATAATCTTTTTAAATCTCTTTATCCACTCAGGTTACAAAACAGTTTGCCTGAGTTTTGAAAGGTTAAATCCTTTGCTGTCTGAATAACCAATAGGAACATAAGTACAATTAGAGTGAAGAGGGAAAATTTTATTTTTTTTAAACAGCTGAGTGGATGAGGAACTGAAAAACTTGACAGTGTTATTTCAGTACAGGAACTAAAAGATGAAAACATACCAGGAGCATTCTTTTCACCAGTTAACAGCCATTTACACTGATCACAAAGGAGTTCTTCAGTAAAAACTGTGCTTTATATCTTTGTACTTTATACAAAGTACAAGGTTCCTTTGGAGCTTACAAAGGAGATGTATTGAGTGAATTTACAGAAGATGAAGAGACAGCATATTACAACATGCATACCCACCAGGAAAGTTAGAATTAAGGTTAGATCATTGAAAATAAATGTGTTTAGAGAATTATCTCTATAGAGATAGGTCACAAGAAAGAGGTATGTCCCTTAACAGGTAACTGATTAGCAAATAAAAAAATACTCTAGGACCAAAGTAATTGAAACAGGAAATACTAGGGAAAAGATAATATGGTAATTGCACATATAATTTTCAAAGTGTTGGATCTGGGCTACAAGCAATAGCAATCAGATTTTTAGGCAGTAAGAGATTTAAATAAATTATAAATGTGTGCCTTAAGCTCAAATTTTTTTTATTAAGAACTAAAATTTACTTCATGCTTTAAGACCTTATATATAAGGAAAGCATTGAGATACTTTGATAATAGGGTTCACAGCCGGTGGCTCATGCCTGTAATCCTAACTACTCAGGAGGCACAGATCGCAGAAGGATTGTGGCAAATATTTGCTCAGGCAAATAGTTCGTGAGACCCTATCTAGAAAAACTCTTCACAAAAATGGGGCTGGCAGAGTGACTCAAGGTGAAGGCCCCTGAGTTCAAGTACCACATGCATAAATAAATAAAATACAATGAGGGTTCACAAAGGAAATTAGTAATGTAAGTGGAGTTCCAATAAATAAGTAGTTAACAACAGGATTCTTGTCTTATGTGAATTTTATTTTTATCCTGCCTGGTCTAACTCCACTGCTTGTGCTGGATGCATATATTACACATTAACTGGGTTGGGCACTGTGATGCTATTGCACAGCATTGCCTGTAGCTAACAGTACTATATGTATTTAAAAGTTTGCCATGTCTTAGGTAAGCATTCTTGTCACAAGATAATAAACGGGGTGGAAGTAAACTGGGAAGTGATGAATATTTTATGACATTGTGGTGATGGTTTCCCAATTCTTTCCCAAATTCTTTTTGGAACTTTTCCAAATTCTTCAACTTGTATATACAAGTGTTCAGCTTATTGTTATGTCAGTCAAGAAATTAGGAAATAGGAATGCTGTATCAGAAGCTGTGTGGTGTAACTACAGAAATACAAGATAATTAATGCATATGTGAAAGAAAGGAGCTCGGTTTACATAAACTGGAAAAAGGAGAGCCCTTAAGGGAAGTGGGAGAAGGAAAGAAATAGAATGCAATAAATTTATAACAATAGAAAAATCAAGCAAAAGCCATTTTGAAAAAAATGATAGATGGGCCAAAAAAATAGACACAAATCGACAATATCAGAAAGAAGAGACATTACTACAGAATACATGATAAAATACTACGAACAACTCGGATGAATTTAGATGAAGCAAATTTTTTGGGAGGACAAATTACTAAGGTTACTTGAAAGGCTAGCAAACGTTAGATTCATGGTAGAACTTCACTCCTTGGAATATATGCCTGTGAAAGTAACAAAAAAAAGTACATTGATATTTGTTGCAGGATTACTTAGAGTAGAAACAAGCAGGTGCTGTAACTTAGGAGGAGGCTGCGATGACGGTTGGAGGCCAGTCCATATATATAGTTTACAAGACCCCATCACCAAAGTAACCAGAGCAAATGAAGGTGTGGCTCAAGCGGTAGAGTGCTTGCTTTGATACTGCAAAGCCCTGAGTTCAAACCCCAGTCCCATCCCTCCATAAAACAATACAAATGTCCTTCAACAGATGAGGATACAGAAAATGCGCAATGTCCATTCAATGGAATATTGAGTTGTAAGTGAATTATTTCAATAAGTAAGTTTTCAAAAGAAACAGTGAACATATGTATACAAAATGTAGGAAACTGAATTTGTAGTTAAATTCTTTCCCACAAAAATTCATGCCTAAATAGTGAATTTTATCAAATGAAGAAATAATACCAATTTTAGATATCCAAGAAAATGGAGTATTGCCCAACCCATTTTATGAGAACATTACTGGTATCAAAAGTAGACAAAGACATTACAAGAAAATTATAAACCAAGATTCCTCATGAATATAAAGACAGACAAATCCTTAAGAAACTTAGCAAATGAAATCCACTAATATATTGAAAAGATGTGTCATGATCAAATAGGATTAGTTCTAGGAGTGAAAGTCTGATTTAATGATTGAAACGTCAATTTGTGTAATTCATATTAACCTTAAAAAATTATCTAAATATATGTAGGAAAAAGTACTGGACAATGAATTCAACACATTTATAAAAAAAATAGAGAATAAAAAGGAACTTAACATGAAAAGGCTATCTATACAAGCTTACAGCTACTGTATCATACTGGTGAGAGATGAATCCTTTACCCTTACCGTTGGAAAGATGACAAGGATAACTGCTGTCACTGCTCTTTGTATTAGATGCCCTAAGCCAATGAGAAAAAAAGCAGGGAGTTGGGAAGAAAGAAGTAAAAACAGTATTTGCAGATAACAATTTTTTTAAAGATGCTAAGATATCTTTATTATTGAAATTAATAAATGCAGCAGGTTCACAAATATCAATTGTGTTCTCACCAGCAAAAATTAGAAATTGAAATAAAAACAGGGTTGTGGATTTAGCTCAGTGGTAGAGCGTTTGCCTACCATGTGCAAAGACCTGTGTTCAATCTCCAGCACCAAAAATAAAAACATTTAAGGGATGAGTTACAGAACCCAGCAAGGTCCCAGATTTGATCCCCAGCCCCCCCAAAAAATAACATTTATAATACAGAAAATACGAAGTATTTAGGGCTGGTAGAGTGGCTCAAGCAGTAAGACTGCTTAGGAAGCGTGAGACCCCAAGTTCAAATGCCAGTGCCACCCCCCCAAAAAAAAACCTATTTAGGGATATACTTGAAATATATGCAAGATGTACACAGAAAGCTAACACATTGCTGGGGAAAGTACAGACTCAAGTGGAGAGAGACAATATGTTCATAGAACTGAAGATTTAATATTGAGTTGTCACCTCTCCTCAAATTATAGATCCTAGTCAAAATTTTAGCAAGCTTTTCTCTTTTTAACTTGGTAAGATTCAGTCTATATGGAAATGCAAGGGACCTAAAGCAGTTTAAACTGTTTTCAAAAGAAGAAAACTGAAAAACTTACAGTACTTCATGACTTACAAAGCTGCAAAAAGATAATGATGTTGACATAGATAAATGATCAGTCCTACAGAACAGTCTGCATCTGCACTTTCAGGGTCATCTGAGTTTTGTACAAGGTACAAGTGCAGTTTAGTGGAGAAAGGATAGTCCCGTCAACAATTAGTGTTGGACAAATCAGATTTCCCAATACAAAAGTATGAACTTTGACCCATACCTCCACACGATACAAAAATTAATTTAAAATGCACCATGGCCAGGAATGATAGCACATGCCTGTGTACTCCCAGTTACTTGAGTAGCTGAGATAGGAAGACTGCTTGAACCCACAGAGTCTGAGACCAGCTTGGGCAACACAGTGAGACCTACTGCAAGAAAAATTAATAAATGCTCCTTAGATATAAAGGAAAACATAAAGCTAAAACATCTACACAACCTGTTAGAGATTTCTTACATACAATGCCATAAAAATAGTTGATAAATTGGACTTAGCGATACTGTCTGAACAACAGTGTTGAGAAAATGAAAAGGAGCCAGGCATGATGGTGATATACACCTGTAGTTCCAGCACTCTGGAGGCTGGAAAACAGGTCACAAATGAGACTGGGGGGTGCAAGGAAGAGCTTGTAAAGCATGCAAATAATCTTTGAGCAACACTGAAGATCAGATTCTGTCTAAAAGTGGACTTGACCTAGAGACAGAGTTCTCTTGGCCACTGTATTTTATCACCATATAGGCACTGTAAGTGCCTAACACCTAGCCTGAAAACAGCTGTAGTGTGGTTATATGTTGTCAATCATCTCATATCTAGTGCAGTAAACCAGTGTTAAATGGGCAAAGCTAATGAACAGATAGATCCCTGGCTGGGATTTTACTCTTCACTTACAACATGAAGAGTAAATTAAAAAGCTAATATTCTGATCTTTATCAAACAAATTGCAATTATTTTCCACTTCCGAACCATGACAGAATGTTATTAATGTCTATTTTTAAACAGGGATTCACAGAACTCTTAAATTGTTTTATGGATCATCATAACTACTTGTTTGGTTCAATTTTAAAATTGATGCACTGTAGTTTAGGAAATTATGTATACCTTAGGTTTGATGTGTATTAACCCAAATGCCTATATTCTTACAACAGTAGAAATCATTTCTTATAGTTGAACATATTAGTATTATACAATTTCAAGTGGTGGTATTAGTATTACTGGTTATGGTTTTGATTCGTAGGGTCTCATCTGCAGCTTGGATTTGGGAGTGTTAAGTGCATTCTAAGGCTAATTAAAACTTCATTTGCCTAGGTGGGAAGAATTTTTTTAAATTTCAGACTGCTTATTAATTGCTATAGTTCTAAAGCAACCTTAAAGACCTGCTTCATCATAGCTTTTCAAAACGCGCACGAGTGTAAGATGGGAGCTACTGTTGGCCTTTACCCCATTTCTCAATGGCAATTTCTGCTTTCTCTGTACACAGGCTCAAGTTAATTCCCCCTCTTCTATGTATGCACCTTCTGGAAGTTACATGGATATGTGGTTGAGGAAGAGCTTGGCAATCTTTCACCACCACTAGGTGGAGGGCACCTTTTTCGGGGTGGGAGGGGTGGAGAAGCAGAGCGAAACTAGGAAAAGGTAGCTGTGACCCCAGTTCCAGGGCTCTAAACCCACCTCGGGGTTAAGAGGGCCCACGGGATTCCATTCTAAGACTCGCGGCCCTACGCCTCCAGCGTACAGGGCTCTAGTAATCCGAGTTTAGAGTTCCAAACCCCATCCCCCAACACCACACGCTCCCTTCCCTCTGCTGGGAACACCCCAGGGCATTTCTGAACAAGGCCATCTCCAGTTCGCAGGAATCATGCTTTGTTACAAATAAAGGACGACCAGTCCACAGCGCACGAACTCGAGCAGCACCAGTTGGACAACCATCTTCCAGTGAAAGGGAAGCCAAGACGTCCTTTCTCCACCACGTCTTCTGACCGAGCGGACCTCCCGCCTTCCGCCCTTCCAGGCTCAGAAGCGCGGTCTAATTCCGAAAGCCTCCTGTGCCGCTTCCTCTTTACTTTTTCGACTTCCAAACTCCCACTGAAAAACGTGAAAAGCAGAACAGAGAGGAGGATACAAAAGAAGTTTCTGAAAACATCTTCTTTTCTAGGTTCTCAAGGCGTCCCCTTTAAGGAACCAGGCCCACCTCTTTCCCATTTACCTACTGGCTTTCCTTCCTGCCTGTCACTCTACCTTTAAGAATATTTCCTGTTCTTTCAACCCAACTTGCACACCTCCGGCCCCCCTCCCCGTCCGGCCCTCCTCATTGGGCAGCCCCAGGCCCGCTCCCTCCTAGGTTTTCTCTCCGCCTCTTCCCGCCCTCTAGCCTAACACAACGGCGTCTCCGATTCTGATTGGGTCTTACGGAAGCCTCCCTAACACCGGACTGGTATGATGAGGGGCAGGGGCGGGGCCACGGCGCACCCAGGGTAGGCTGTTCGCGTGCAGAGCAGTGGCCGCGGGAGGGGCGGGGAGGGGCGGGGGGAGGGGGGCTGGGAAAGTTGAGGCCGCTCTGCCGCCGGGTCTCCGGCCTTGAGGGCTAGGGCTCGCTGCGGCTGCGGTGGCCGCAAGAAGAGGCAGCGGGGGCGGGGGGAGAGGAGGGCTTGGGCCCGCGCTCCCCCAGCCCCGGAGGAGCAGGCAGCGGCTGCGGACGGGGAGATTCGTCCGGGCGGTCACATACCCCTGCTTTCCCCGTCTGGGATCATGACCCAGGCGGGGGTCCCCGCCGCCGCCACCCTCGCGGCCGAGAGCGCGCAGTTGGCGGGTAAGTGGCTGCGGGAGGGGGCGCTGACAGCCGGGGCGGGGGGCGGGGGCCGGGGCTGCGGGGGCGGCTCCGGGGGGCGGCTCCGGGCTCAGCTCCACCCACCCCCTCCTTGCTCCGGGAGGCGAGAGCTAGGCAAAGTGTGCCTCCTTCCTGGGGACCCCTGAGTGCGGAGCCTGACCCTGTGTGAGCGCTAAGCGGTGTGTGCACCCCTCTTCTCCCCGACCTCCCCGCGCCCCCTGGTGCCAGGCCCGTGGGGCGTTTGCCCAGCCCCCCCGATGCGCGCGGGACGAGCGAGGCCCCATGCGGTCTCGGGTGCATAAAGAGCCGGGCAGCCAGGTCCGCACCGGATGGCCTGTGCCTGCCCCCTCCACCTTTCGTGTCCCCGTCACCTCTGTCCGTGGCCTCTGACTTTCCTTCCGACCCGCTCGTCAAACTCAAGCAGCTTGCTTTTATCTCTCACCCCTGTGTCGGAGAGTTAGGCTTGCGTTTTTCTTTTGAGAAATCCATCTTTTTGCTATCTGAATAGGAATCTTTCAAGCGAATAGCAAACTCCTATAATCTACTTCCATATTTCCTGAAGAAACATGAGGTTTCTGGCTCTTGTTCAAGTTTAATAATTTGATTATTGAGTTCTGCCCTACTCACTCTTCCACTCCACTTCACCCCTTTACTTTGAGACGTGGGCCTTTGCCTTTATTAACTTAATCTGGAAATTAGAGACTACATAAATCTACCTGCCAAGTCCTAAATAATATTCAGATAACATTTTTTACCTTTAAGTACGTATAGGGACCTAACACCGCACACAAACAAGACATTTGGCCAACTTTGCAGGTAACAAAGATAGTTGCTTACTTATAAACAAACGTTCAGATTTCTTGAGTGAACCTTATGGTGAGTAATTGGCTCTTGAAAGGTATCCCCGAGTTTGCACTAAGCAAACAGACTTGCTTTTGAAGGATCAACAGGCTGTCATATTCTCAATCACTTTGATGACTTTCTCCCTCCCCCACAGGACTCTTGTTTAATGTGGTTCAGAGTTGCTGTGTGGGATGCTTGTGTTTTCCTTTATTTGTAAAGTATTCTGCAAGTATTTGTTAAAAAATAAGTAAAATACATGTAGCTATTGCATTCTTTTTTTTTTTTTTTCTTTCATTTTTCTTTTATTATTCATATGTGCATACAAGGCTTGGTTCATTTCTCCCCCCTGCCCCCATCCCCTCCCTTACCACCCACTCCGCCCCCTCCCTCTCCCTGCCCCAATACCCAACAGAAACTATTTTGCCCTTATTTCTAATTTTGTTGTAGAGAGAGTATAAGCAATAATAGGAAGGAACAAGGGTTTTTGCTGGTTGAGATAAGGATAGCTATACAGGGCATTGACTCACATTGATTTCCTGTGCGTGGGTGTTACCTTCTAGGTTAATTCTTTTTGATCTAACCTTTTCTCTAGTACCTGTTCCCCTTTTCCTATTGGCCTCAGTTGCTTTAAGGTGTCTGCTTAAGTTTCTCTGCGTTAAGGGCAACAAATGCTAGCTAGTTTTTTAGGTGTCTTACCTATCCTCACCCCTTCCTTGTGTGCTCTCGCTTTTATCATGTGCTCATAGTCCAATCCCCTTGTTGTGTTTGCCCTTGATCTAATGTCCACATATGAGTGCTCTCGCTTTTTATCATGTGCTCAATAGTCCAATCCCCTTGTTGTGTTTGCCCTTGATCTAATGTCCACATATGGGGAAACCGATTTTTGGTCTAACCTCACTCAGAATGATGTTCTCCAATTCCATCCATTTACCAGCGAATGATAACATTTCGTTCTTCTTCATGGCTGCATAAAATTCCATTGTGTTAGATACCACATTTTCTTAATCCATTCGTCAGTGCTGGGGCATCTTGGCTGTTTCCATAACTTGGCTTGAATAGTTGTTTTCTAAAATAGCTGTTTATGGATCATCACAGAGGTAAAATGCTAAAGTTACAGACTGTGCAGTTAGTGAGCAGATAATGTATGAGAAATCGATGGGTTGTTTTCCTATTTTCAGAGTTTACCCTGTCGACAAGGGGAAAGAAAGATTAAAGAAACTGAGTATTTAACTCAGTTTAGAAGATAAGCTTCAACAGGTAATCAGCTTAGATTTCTTGCTTATAAACAGGGTCTTTAATCAAGCTTGGATCTTAACTATCTCTCACAGTTACCCATTGCCCAGTGGTTCTCAGACTGAACTGTTGATTAGAATCACGTTGTGTAAAGGTGATTCTCCTAAATTTTAATGACTGTGTCATTTCCCTCCGAGATTACTTTTGTATTGAGGAAAGGCTGACCATCAGCATATTTTTTAAAGCTTTCCAGGGCTGAGAACTATCTTTGTATAGAACAAAGTCCAAACTGCTAGGGCTGTATTCTAGGCTTTTCTTTTTCTTTTTTTTTTTTTTCTTCAGGGAGGGAGGCAGTACTGGGGTTTGAATTCAGGCCTCCTGCTTGCTAGGCATGCACTCTACCACTTGAGCCATTCTTTCAGCCCTTTTCGGTGTTGGGTATTTGTAAGATAGGGTCTCAGAAACTATTTGCTGTGGTCTCAAGCTACGATTCTCCTAATCTTTGCCTGCTGAGTATTTAGGATTACAGGTGTGAGCCACCAGCACCAGCTCACATGATATTCTTAAATACCATTGCAGCATGGCAGGACTAGAACCCCACCACCACAGGAACTGTGTTCTCTTTATCTTTGTAGTCCCAGTGCCTAACATTGAATTTGTCGTTAACAGGCACTTAATAAATGTGTGCTGAATGTGTGAATGACTGCCATGTTATGTATTATACAAAGAAAACTAAATACATCTTTAACATGGGTTGATTTGGCATTAGTTGACTTTGCTATTAAATATTATGTCTTGTACTTCTGTTATAGATTTTTTAAGGATTGGGGAGGGAGTGTAATTATAATTGTGACAGACCATTTAAATATATAATTTTGTATCCAGCATACACAGGCATGTATCTTGAGTCTTTTGCTGTGATCATGTTATCCATAAAATATTTGTGAAACTCTTGCTAAGAGAAAAGCTGCTAACTGTCCAATTGGGTAATTTTTCTTTTTCTCATTAAATTTTCCATATGGGTACAATTGCACTTATTCAGAAGCCCAGATCTTTTAATTAGATTGGTAAGGCACGATAAGTTACTCTTATTAATGTGCTAATACTGTGTTTTTAATTCAGTTCATCAAGTATTTATTGAGTACTTACCATGTGTCCAGTGTCATTAGGTGCTGAAAAGAATACAGAAATAGTAAGTGGTGAACTCAGCTCATAGGAACTTTTTGAGAGGATGGGGCACCACTCTCAGCAAATAATTAAGGCACTTACTGTAGTATTCATTAGATGCTAAATTAAACAAAAATACCTAAAATTGATGATGTCATAATTAATAATGAAAAATTAGGAAAGAGTAGATACTCTTTCAAAAGACATTTATTACACTCCTTGTAGCATGTTTGCTTGTCCCAGGGGTAAGGCAGTTTAGAAGCTAGCACCCTATGTTCCCAGTGCGAGACACTGGCCCTGGACCTGGAGGAAGCAGAGAAAACCTTATTCACAGATTACTGTGTGTCTATTCTAACTTGTTCAGAGGCTTCCTGAAGGACTGTGCAAGCTGCTTGTCTCTGTTTCACCTACCTCAGAACCTTACTCAGGGCAGAAAAGCAGTGAGCATCCATCTGCATACAGTAAAAAACCAAAACCCAAAAAAAAAAAAATAAAAAAAAAATAAAATACACTCTTGTTGTGTACTAATTGTTGAGAACAACACAAATATGAAAAATGTGATTTCTAGTACTTAGAAGCTTAGGGTCTAGTGGGAAGAGCTAAGTTTATAGAGTATACTTATGTTAATTCATTATGTAATGTTGGGACCTGTGAAGAAGGATATTTAGTCTAACCGCTGAGGATCAGAAAAAGTTTCAAAAAGGATAATATGAGTTCCCAGTTGGAAAATTGATGCGGGCATTCCATTAAAAATAACAGGTATAGACACATGGACATGAGAGAGCATTCCTTGCTTAAGTTCCTTCAAGTAGACTGATAGGAATAGAAAGTGGGGGGTTAAAGAGCGGTAACAGATGTTCTCAAACTTTCATCCCTGAGAGGTCTGAGCCTTTGTAGGACAGAAGTAGTTTACTCGTAACTTCTCTCTAGTCTCAGTACCAAGAGGTGTTGTCCTGATGTGCCTTCTCCTGACTGACCTATATGCTCCTGTAATCTCTTTTGTGTCTCATTGCCTGGCTGCGTGCGGAGCCCTGCACAGCATTACTTCGCAGTTAATGAAGTCTTTATTGGGTCCCTGGTGAAAAAATTCTCACATCAGCTACTATCATTTCTCTCTCTCTCTTTTTTTTTTTTTCCTTTTTTTTTGGCAGCATTGGGGTTTGAACTCAGGGCCTCATGCTTACTAGGCAGGCACTCTACTACTTGAGCCACTCTGCCAGCCCTAGCTACTATAATTTCTAAAACAGCAAAAGTCACAGAGAAGGAGACAAAAATTTGTGGTGCCACCATGGTAGGTACCACTTTTACCTCTACATCACTTGCAGGACCAATATCTCTGGTTATAAACAACAGAAATTGCCAGGCATGGTGGCACATGCCTATAAATTTAGCCTTTGGGAGGTGGAGGCAGAGGGATTGGATAGTGCATTTGAGGTTAGTCTGGGCAAAACCATGTCTCGTTATAGGTGTGCATACTGGTGCACACCTATAATTCCAGCTACTTGGGCGGAAGAGATAAGGGGATCTCAGTTCAAAACCAGTCCCAGGCAAAAAGTTATCAAAATCCTATCTCAATAACAAAGCCTTGGTATGGTGACATACACCTGCAATCCCAATTACTTGGGAAGTAAATATTATTTTGTTTTGTTTGTTTGTTTGTTTGTAGTACTGAGGCTTGAACTCAGAGCCTTCACCTTGAGACACTCCACCAGCCCTTTTTTGTGATGGGTTTCTTTGAG